GTCCAATATGTCCAACGGTCCTCGCGACGGGTTGCCAAAGAGCTTTTGATCTCGAAGGGAGCAATTTATCGCTTCCTTCGAGATCCAGAGCTCTATGGTAGTCAGCCGCGTGGTAGATCGCCCCAAAAACTAGACGAACGTGATCGAAGGCTTGTCGTCAGGACAGCGTCCAAAGGATACTCAAGCTCGAGTCGCATCGAGCACGACCTCCAGCTCGAAGTTTCGCCCCGAACGATACGCAGGATCCTCGCCAAGTCACCCCATTTGAAGTTCAAGAAGCGCAAGACTATCCCAAAGTTGTCCAATGCTCACAAGTTGGCTCGTCTAGAATGGGCGAATCCACATGTTGACTGCGGTTTGGGCTGGAACCATGTCGTCTTTTACCTGGATGGCCATGACGGCATGCAATACTACTGGCACGATTTACGCAAGGAAGAGAAAACGTTTTTGAGTCGACAAAATGTCGGCGGTATTGTTATGGTATGGGCTGGATTTTCAAGCAAGGGCGTTACCGAAATTGCATTTTTGCAAGGCCGTCAAGACTCAAGTATCTATTGTAATACGGTTGGAAACTTTCTCGTGCTTTTTGTGCATGAAAATCATCCTGACGGATGTGTTTTTCTACAGGACAATGCCAGTAGTCATACAAGCCACGTGGCCAAAGAGTTTTTGGCGGATCTAGAATTGCCTCTTTTGGACTGGTCTACCCTCTCTCCATACTTATGTGCCTCTGAACACGACCGTTCGTATGTGACCCACAACGGATCACTGCGACCACCATGGCCGAGCCTCAGACCGCGACGAATACGCCTGTGAAACGACGACGGATGTGCCACCGACTGTGACCAAGGCGGCTGACCCGCCGACTACGACAGATGTGCGTGTCATTACCCAGGCTACGCTTGTGACGACGACGACGGCTGGGCCTCTGATGACGGGTCGAAAACGTCTGGAGGTATCTTGTGAGAAAGGCTTATGCCAACGGACGTCAATTTCCGAATGCTGTCAGCTTAAAATAAGAAATTCCTTGGCAGTGGCACTCCATCGACCAAACCTACCTGTCCAAGCTGCTCTCGTCCATGAAATCACGCTGTATTGCCGTTATTCAAGGCAAAGGAGTTGCAACTAAGTACTAGAATACATTCTTGTTTGAAATCTTGTGTTATATTGCCTAAATAGCCATTTTATTGACTGTGTACCCATGTTGACTGACCAGGGTAAATTTTGAAATATTGATAATTTTGGGTCCGTGGCATCATTCGTGTGTGCAATATGAATACTGTATTTGAACACTGCATTCAAACTGACTTGGGAAGAGGACTCTCCTGATCCTGTTTTTGTTGCATATTGATTCAGGAAGACCGAGCTTAGAC